CAGCGTTGGCATAACCGCATTAAAAAAGGAGAAAGATCTCCTGCCCTATTTATTTCAGTCTTGACAGTATTTCTTCTATGTGTCTAACTCAGAGTACATGAAAAAGCATAAATCCTTTTAAGAGTCTCGTCAAGCAAGTTTTTTGGGGGCCTTACAGTGGTAAATGTAGAATGGGTGTACAAAACCTGAGATTAGTGAGGATCCCCATAAAGACAGTTTCATCCTTCCCCAATGAAATGTGGGGTAATGTAGCAAAAATAGACGCTTAACTTGCTGTTGACCTATTTCTCAATACTTTTGAGAATGATCTCTGAATAATATATTTTTTGTACTGTTTCACCTATTAACACTGTTTGTTGTTATAGCTTAAAATGTTACTTTGTTTTCTAAATCATTAAATTCATAAACATTTAAGTTAGATACCTGCTTTTCTAAGTTAAAAATGGCTAGAAGTCAGTACTGCAAAACACAATTTATTAGAATCTTTGTGGCGAACACGACAAACCATTCACAGCACAACTCTATTTGTAGATCAAAATGTTCATAAGGATAATTTAAGAAGACATCTCAGAATTCAGTTCAAAAGTGAGTGTATATCACATGTAGATAGTTCTGCAGAATTAAAAATCAGTCCAAACTCTTTGTGTAAAATGCATAAGGATCTTATATCTCCTTATACATATTTAAAGGCTTAGATGCCCTTTCAGAGCTGTCTTCCACACAGGTGTTATTAGATCTCTCCACTCCCCAGAGTGGCTATGTAAATTTCCACTGATTTAACTTGAATGTGCATTTAAAGTAGGATAAGGTGTGCTTTAACTCGTGGTGTTTATCTTAATTTAAGAAAAATATGTCTCTCAAATGTCAGCTCCAAGTGGAACACTGCTGGGGGTTAGGTTTTTCCCTTTTGTTTCTTTTTACTTAGGGAATTTTGTGCCATAAGTGGCTAGGAAACAGTAATGACTGCATACTTAAGAAAAACAAAAGAAGTGGCTGAGCTCAGAGGAGGAGGGCATCTGGCTGCACTTCTCTTATCTGAGGGGCAGAGATACCTCGATAATTGGACTGGTAAAGGACCGGGCTGGGGCAGCTTCTCTCTTTCTCTTTCTTTCTCTCCTCTCTCTCTCGGCTTCGGAAGAGGACGGTTGGAACTGCCGCCTGGGGGAGTGAATTTGCTGGTGCCGCCAGAGCCCAGCCCAGTCCTGTTTCTTCTGACATGGGGTGAGCCTGTGCTTGTGATAACAGTAACTGAACTGGGACGTTATTAACACCTACCTCACTAAAAGAGGGACTTTTCACCATCTGCTCGGTTGCCCGGGATCCTGAGCTCGCCTCTCCCTGCTGTGCTTGGAGCCGGGCTGCCGCTGCCCCGCCCCCACTGCTTCTTCAGCACTGCTCCGAGCTTTCGCTACACCGTAGCCCCTCATCTCCTGCCTGCTGAGATGTCCCGCGGTTCCACCTACAGCCGTGGAGCTTCTGATACATCTCATCCACTGTGAGATACACAGTTGTGTTTCGTGTCAGGTACATACAGGTAGTGTGTGTACTTGTGATTGTGATTTGTGTGGAAACTGATCATGGGACAATTAAAAGATGATATTTCAGCTTGCTGCTTCCAAGAGTCCTGCTGGGGCACCTGGATCAACTGCCCCAGGGGTTTGTGAAACAAGCCTCTTTTCCATCCCTTCTTATCTTGGTCAAGCCGCCATTACCACGTGCTCCTCGAGCTCACTCCAGAGCACCCCCTGTAGCCGCGGGGGAATCATCACACCTGCCCTGGCCACCAGGAGCCACCAGCACTGCTGCAGGCTGTGACCATCACTACACCAAAGGGGAAAGTGCCTGCGGCCGAGAAGGCTGATACTGGGTTTCTGGTTCTATTTGTTGTAACTGCCATAGGTATTGTTGATTGTTTGCCTTGTTATACAAACTAGTAAAGAACTGTTATTCCTATCCTAATACCTTTGACTGAAAGCCCCTTAATTTCAAAATTAAGCCTCTTAATTTCAAAATTATAGTATTTCAGAGGGAAGGGGATTACATATTCCATTCCAAGGAGGCTCCTGCCTTCCTTAGAAGACACCCGTCTTTCAAACCAGGACAGAAACACACTAAAGAAAAAAAAAAAAGAGGGTTGCTCAAACTGAGATGCATATATGTCAGTATTCATTATGAGAGTCAACTTTGAAGAAGGTAGTCTGGTGTATAGACCTGAGTAACAGTGCAACACCAAAAAGCATGGAGATGTTCAAAAAAAGGATTTATATTCAATGGAGTGACTTTCACAAGTAAATTTAAGGATTATTTGGAGAAAAAGGCACCAAAATATATACGTATTTAAATTGTAAGAGTACGAAAGCCATTTACATTTTTTGTTCAACTGAAGTTATGTAAATCGTGACAATGATTAAGAGGGATGTGCAACAGAAAGCAGTAATTAACATCCAAATGGAATAGTTGTGTTAAATATATACCAGCATATTGATACCAGTGGGACCTCATCTACATTGTTGCACACATACTGCTGCTATACTCCAAATCTGGAAGAGGAACTGAGGAATTCAGAGCAGTAAACTAGTAATATGGGTAAAGCCTGAAAAGAATGCTTAGAAGCTTGATAACTTTTCCCAGGCTGTCAATCCTTAAAATCACAGAATGGTTGAGGCTGGAACCTAGTCCACACCTTCCCCCCACCATCCCCAGCAGGGTCATCTGTAGCCAGTTGCTCAGGACCATGTCCAGACAGTTCTTCAAGGAGGGAGACTCCACAACATCTCTGGGCAAAATGTTGCAGCACTCAGTCACCTTTACAGTAAAAAAAATTAGTTTTCTGATGTTGAGATGGAAACTCCTATGTTTTAGCTTGTGCTCATTGGCTCTTGACCTGTCACTAGGCACTACTAAGAAGAGCATGTTTCCCTCTTCATTCCTTCCCATCAGGTATTTGCACGCATTGATGAGAACCTCTCTGAGTCTTCCCCAGGCTAAACACTCCCAGCTCTCTCAGTGTTACCACCTACACCTGACCCCTGGTAATATGGTTAGCATAACTAATGCCATTAGGCAAATAGCCATTCTCTGTGACTCAGCTGGGCACATATCAGTCCCATTTTCCCTCATCAGGCCTTGAAGGTCCTGTGCACTAGGCAGACTTCTCCCCTTTCCTATCAGTCTCCAGGTTCCTGGGTGCCAGGCTAACTACTCTCCTCCTTACTGGCCTTGAAGGTCCCAGGCACGTGGCCAATCAGGTGGTTGTGACCCCGATACAGAACAGGGAAGCTTAGCAGCACACATAGCACTGCCTATAAAATCAAGCAGTTAAGTCTTAAGTGGGACTTGGACTAAAACAGCTGTTGGACAGCAAAACTTGTGATCCTCCAGTGGTCAGGGATGCCTCCAACATCATCTGCTTCTACTGAGGATTTAGTGACTCAAATTCTTTTACATCTTTCAAACCTAGATTATGATTGTTATATTGATATGGAAAGTAATGTATTTAGATTTGACCGGACATGCAGAGGATCCAGGTGATTAGAAGCTATAAGCTAAGCTATGCCTTGAAATTCTGTGCTATGCTACTTATAAAATTGTGCTACACTGATTCTGCTTATTAAAACACCTGTTCTACTCTGATCATACCATTCTATGCTGATCATAAAAGTCTGGTAAAAAAAAAACAACTTTAATTGTAACTACAAATTAGTTTCATCATCATTCTGCCAAGGATTTCCAAATGAACCTGTCTGTCCCCATAAAGCCAGGTGACAGCCTTTTCTCATAAAATAGGTGCTCCAATCCTTTAATCATCTTTGTGACTTTTCACTGGTCTCTCTCCATAATGTCCATGGCTCTTGTACTGGAGGGCCCAAAACTGGACATGGTACTTTAGATGCAGCCTCACCAGTGCTGAGTAAAGGGGAAGGATCACCTTCCTTGACTTTCTGGCAATGACAGCCCAATGCAGCACAGGGTGCTGTTAGCCTTCTTTGCCACAAGGACACATTGCTGGTTCATGTTTAGCTTGGTGTCCACTAGGACACTACAAACATACAGTCCTTTGCTGCAAAGCTGCTTTCCAGTTGGTGAGCTCCCATCATGTACTGGCGCATGCAGTTGTTTTTTCCCAGGTGTGGGACTTAGCACTTTCCCTTGTTGAAATTCATGACGTTCCTGTCAGTCCATTTCTCCAGCCTGTCAAGGTACTTCTCGATGGCAGCACAACCCTCTGGTGTATCAGCCATTCCTGCCAGTTTTGCATCATTTTGCACTTGCTGAGGGTGCACTCTTTCCCACTGTCCAAAGGTGTTGGCAACTTGGTGTCAAAAATATATTTTGGGCTATTCCTAGAAGATGTTTTCCCCCTATAATCAGATTTCAGTATTCAAAATCAAGCTTGGTAATTTACCTTAAACAACATAATTAATTGTTCACTGATTAGTATGAAATACTTTATGTGCCTCAAGGAAATTCACAGCATTGTGCTATTATTCTCTTCACTGCTCATCATGTCTAGTTTTGGATAAATTCTACTTTTTTTTTTTAATTTAGTGAGTAAAATAAAATTTCAATTCTAGTTAAGCCCATTAATTCAAATCAGTCAAATCTATGAGCTAAACACTGACAAACACTTCTACTGTTTCCTGCTTCTTAACTACTGATTACAGTGTAAGCTAGCATGTTCTGGAAATAAGATGCTTCCTCACAGACTTGCATAAACCCCTGAGGAGGAATTTTTTTTTTTGGTGAAATACAATTTAGGCATTATGCTTTACCTCAGTGAAATTCCATCTTACTGACATTCATACTTACATGCGGAAAAAACATTGACTTAGCAAGCAAAACTATTTCATAGGGGAAAGTATTACACCAGCACAAATGGCCCAACTTTAAAATACTAAGCCTTTTAAAATTAAAATACTGTAGAAACTGCTTCTTTGCAGTCTGAAGTCACATCATTTTGCTCACATTTTGCTCATGAGAATAAAATTTAAAGTCATGAGTTGCACATAAAGGATTTATTTTAAATGTTTTAAGGATAGAGTTACATCATAATTATAAAAATTACTTACAGAATTAAGTAACAGATTTAAAGTGTTCATACTTCTAAATGCAAAGAAAATAAAAATAATGAAACCAAGCTTTAAAGATGAAGTCACTACCTAATTTTAAAATGTGAACACGAAGACCTTTAAACTATACACATACCAAGAACCATCCAAATTGCACTAATGATATAAAATACAAAATGTACAACATTTTCAAGGAACCAGAAACTGTTTTTTACCCTAATTATTTTTCCCTGAAGCAACTGTAATTCATTCTATTTGAAGATAAATGCTCCATTTTAAAGAATTAATTTAAAGAAGATGTATACCTATTGTAATAAATAGGATTTTCCCCAAAGTATTTCAGTCTTTATGTAGTCCCACTTAGTTTAGGGTTTGGCATTCAAAAGAAAAAAAATCATTGTTTTACTTATCAATTACGATTTTATTTATTCTTGAACAGAATACATGGTCCCTTCAAATGCTGTATGAGATACAACTGGAAAATTACCTTTCGTTGGAACTATGTTTGCCTCACCAGTGCATTTAATCCTATTAACAACCATTCAAACAGCACAATAAGGAAATTCACGAAAAACTGAACACAAAATAAAAACAGAACAAACCCCAAACCTAAACATTATAACATGCAACTTCCATTTGTTACATTGAATGTTCTAACCTTCTAAGCATGCAAAAAAGGATGATCTGCATTTAAGGTGGGTTTTTTTTCATTTTTAAAAGTTTTCCATGGCAGCTCGACATCATGCACACACAATATACAACAATACTACAGCAGATAAATGAGAGGCCAATAATTTTTATACAAAGATCCATGGCTTGTGTCATCACAAGACCTATGATAAATTTGGAAAGTAATGTTGAGCCCCTAGAACAAGGGACCAACATGTAGTTACTAGGGTAATGCAAGCACTGCATGCAGATCTGAAACATGAGCCTAAAGTAAGCCCAAAACAGATGGCAGGGAGTGGAATAACTCTCAAGTCTCAAAATGGTGGTTTAAGCTATTAAAAAAACCAACCACAAAACCAAAACCGCCCCTCCACACAAACCTTAAGAAAAAAAAAAAAAAAAAGAGATGAGAAGAAAAATCCCATACAACAGACAATGGGGACATCTAAAAACAACCATAAAATTTGACAGCATATACTGTATAGATTATATTCTAATTAGCAAAATATGTGGTGTATTAGAGTGGCTTACATAAAATCCCACAAATGCAAGCCAAATGCTAAAAATGTTCCAGTAGAGCTAAACCTCAAATATTTCAAAACAAACCTTGTTGTTACATCCTTAGATGTAAAGCCCAAAATTCATTGTACTAAGTTATTAGTGTATTTTGTGTGTAATCAATACACTCATTCTTGTGCCACAAATATCAACTTGGGCTCATGGAGCCAGGCTCAGCTTTGAGATTTACATGCAGGACTCTTAAGAGTCAATAGGAAGCACATAACAGATCTGCAGGATGAAAGCAGTGTTGCAAATCTGCTCATTTTGTTCAAAACACAATGAAAATTTACTGACTCAGATACTTGGTGCTTAAAGACTGGATTGAGAAGTTTTGAACTGAAAGACAATAGCCTGCCTTTGGTTGCCCATGATGAAATACAGGACATAATGCAATATAGTAGCAAGGTATAAAGAATTGATACCATATTTATACAGTATTACCATTTAACAGCATAATGAGGCATAAGCCTTAAGGCTAAAGAATGAAATCAGGCAAAAAAAAAAAAAAAAAAAAAAAGACAGAAAAGGACTTAAGCCACTGAGTCTTTGCTATTAAGAATACCCACAATAGAGGTCAGACCCCTGATCTCTCATTAGCAGTATCTCTCCTGCATCCTTCCACTAACATCATCAAGTTGGATATCTATGTATTCCTTCTTTCCATCAATAGCGTTGACTGTATTCACATTCTTCACATACTGTATTTCTGTGAAGCAGTGGTTTGAAGCCTGTAGAGCTCTGTTTCAACATGAAAATTTTGTTGCTGTGCTGATCCTCATTACAATCATGATGCTTTTAAAAGTTGCTATTCTTAAAAAAAACCCAAATACCCTAACCTTGATTTACAACTATCTTGCAAGATTAAAACTGTGAAAGGATTCTGCTGTTGTGGGCTATTTGCATCCACAGTCTAATGCAGATGACTAAACCACTGAGACAGCCTATAGCTCCCATTAGATAGTACACCACTGGCATGCATAACTCTAGTGTTCACAGAATGAAATTCATGTTAATGGCATACCTCAAAGCAAGTACACCACAAAAGGCAACAACAGGTTTAAACTGTAGATTTGTCTGGACACTCCTTACGTGGAAAAGCCAAAAATAGAATACACTGAAATTATGCCTTCTTGAACCAAAATGGTTAAAAACAAAGCAAAGGAATACAGCACAAAACAAAGCAAAGGAATACAGCAGACTGAGGAGAAGGCAACAAATGCTTCTCCTTCTCTAAAGGAGGTCCTCAGTGTAAAAGGACCCCCCTCCCGCATAAACTTGTATTTACTGTGTAAAAGATTAACTAATACTAGCTTTCTAAGTCCACACACAAACATCCAAGTTGCTAGGTTCTGATATTAAATGAGAGACTACTCATTGCCGATGTGTAGTCCAAAGTCTGCTTAAGTAGCATTATATACTGCTAAAATTGTGGCACCAAGCACTTGTATTCTGCTATGAAATGTGTATAACAAAACAGAACACAACATTTAGGATTAATGGCAGCTTTGTTGTGTGTATTTTACTGGTTCCTACAACTTGTAAACATAGGCCCTTAACCTTCATTTTCTAATTAACTGGATATACAGATGAAATAGATTTTTATAGCTTAAAGCCTTTTCACTGAAAGGTGCATATGTCAAACACTTGATATCCTACTGCCCTGTGACTAGTAAAAAAGACACAAGTATTTAATAACTTAATTTGAAACAAAGAGTAGAAACACAGTAAATAGATGTTACATGGGTTAGACACTCACTGCTGCACAAACTGTTTAAACCTTTCAGAAAAGTCACCTCTGTCCCAACCCAGAAAACAAGGACTGCCAGTAGCCAAGAAATTAAATTTAATGTTGCAAAAGAAGACATGTGGAAAATAGCAAACTACACTTGCATGTGGCAGTTGAACAGGCGATGCAAGGTTGAAGAAAAAGTTAATCTAAGAAAAAAATCTAGATTACAATACTAGATTGGCTTCACACAGCTTGAATTTGCAACTGTTCTTTGCTTTTAACTCCCTACCACCCAAATATATTGATTTCCTTCAAGAAAAGGAGCTCTCTTACACAAGATGTGTCATATTCACATAAATTTGTATTATTCAGAACAAAACAGTTGCTGGCAGAGATTGTGGGTTCGCAGGGACATTTAAATTTTCATTCAACTGAAAAACAGTCAAGTCTGTGTCTACAAATTTTACATTTAATAGTTCCACAAATTTGGCAGACATTCATGGTGACGTCTAGGATGTCTTCACCAAATCATAGACATAAATATGGAAATCATCATCAAACTTGATGAAATAGACAGATGGTTTGGCTTCAACTTGATGAATGACCATGCCAGTCCGTTTTGAGCCATCTTCTTTGGCATATTCCACTTGTTTGCCTACCAGGCTGTCTACAACTTCACCTGGTTCTCGTTCTGCAGGAGGTGAATCATCTGTAATATGAAAATACATTGTACTTTGGTAGACAATTATGGATTTTTTTTTTGATATACAAAACTTCAGACTTCTTTATAAGTTAAGAGAGTCACAAGTTCAAAATGCAAAGTATGTCTAAAGTTGTTTAGACAAGCGCCTATTGCCATGCTTCTAGAGTAGTCACAGATTTTATTTTTTTGAGTAATACTGTCTTCACTTTTATGAATTAAAAATTAGCACTTCAATTGGTTAGAAAAGTAAATCTTTTGACATGAAGGTTTACACACCAATTACAAAAAATGTTTGTAGATAATTGAATTTGAGCCCCCAGCAGAACAAGGCACTGAGTATATTTAACAGAAAGGCAGGTGTACTAGAACTCACTATCCAAAATGTCAATGCAAATATGTCATTGCAACAAAACCACATCTTCCAAGCTAAGTGTAACCTCCTTAATCAATAATGCTGTAAAAAGGAGCTTTCAATTTTACACTAGAATGGATACTGTTGAGAAGTTTAATCTTATTATTTGCTTTTCAAGCAAAATCTACCCAGAAGTATCCTTAAATACACAATTCACATTGTCTGTAAAGGACCCAAATTCAGGGAAGGTAGCTCATAGTTTGGAGTGTCTTAGAAACAGAGGTAAGGAATCATAGAATCATAGACTATCCTGAACTGGAAGGGACCCACAATAGATAGGAAAAAAGAACACAAAAAACGTAATTCTTAAATATGAAAAGCATGAGTCTTTTAACTTATTTTTCTAAGAAAGAAGAAAGCAAAGCAGAATTTAAAAAGTAATTACAAGGTATTTCAGGGTGCCAACTCTGAAAGACCTTGCTTTGGTTTTTATACGATCAAAGTCAGTTTTTCCATTAACATTTGTGGTTCTCTCTCAGGCCACAGATAAGTTGCTTTTTGCTAGGCTGGAAAAAATCTAAAACCATAGGATTACTACAGAGATTATGCAAATAAGTGCCACTTGTTTACTCAGCCAGTGCTAGATCTGAAGGAAGACAGTCTGAGAAACTCAATGAATTAATTTAAAATAATATTTATGTAGTGCATTGCCTAATTACTGTTTGGCTATCAAATTAATGATTTACTTTAAAGCCAAAATTGCCTCTCTGTTGGAGAAGCATTTTTGAGGCACAAGACAGAAGTTTTTTCTTTTTTTTTTTATTAGCTAAAATCCCTTGAACACTGATTCTGCAAAAAAATATTTCTAGGAAAAAAAGCCAATAACATTCACTTTAAAAAAGAAAGAAAAAATATTCCTCCTAACCTATTGAATTTTTTCCTGTTTATATGTTTAAACATATGAGAGAAAATGAGTTTTGAAAATATTAGTGCTTCTTTCCTCCAAGAAACTATTCAAAAACTTTCCAAACTGATGATGCTTACCCAAATTAAATTTACCTATTTTACTTAGCCCCAAAACATTATTTTTATAACAACTTCTTCAAAAATATAACTCCTTGATTTGTGACACTTCTATAAGAAAATAACAATGAAAAGATTCTAGTTTGTCCATGTGAAAAAAAAAAAAATCTAAGTGTAATCTCTTCATAACAGTATGCATATCTTTATCAAAATTAGGAATTATAATGGAAAATTATTTTCCAGTATTTATTGCATATTTCACCACTGACTCAAGGAAAATATTTCAGAAATTGTTTAATACAGATATTTTTTCAGTTGTGCTGTAACCTTTGCTAGTTTTGATACTTAAAAAGATACTTCTTTGTCAACTCTCTTTTCCATACATAACCCATAAGCTGTATAATAATACAGAGAGATGCCACTTTTCAGAATAAAAAAGTAACCAGTCTACTTACTGGAATCAGGCATAATGCGAAGATCACCTTCTTTATAGTCATCTAAGAGTTGGTACATATACAACACAGGATCTTTCTCGTAGGTAATATAAAACCATGTGTTCATAATAGGAGCTCGAGCCAAGACCATCCCCCTCCATTCATCTTTTGAGCCTTTCCACTGTGTTACAGGTCCGCTCCCTTCTCTCCAGCCATGCTGTATTCTGCAGCCTACAATGTTTCTTCGTGGCTGAGAAATAGGTTTGCTTGGTCCAACATTGTTTCTATGCTTTCTGTACACAGATACAAACATAACATTAAACAAGTACATACTCAAAATTCTACTCTGGACAAGAGCTGCATGCTTTAAGAAGGCAATATATTGTTATTGTATATTAATATAAGATACATTAATTTATACAGCTTAGTGCACCTTATTCAAATTAGGGTATAAAGAATACTACATTGCTCTGGAAAAAGAAAAAACTCACACTGAAAAGTAGGGGAATACTTTCAATATTTTGTATAAGGTTGCTTTCATAATAGTAGTTCCTAAAACTAGTTTGCTTAAGCCAAAAGAACTATTTTATGCATTGCTACACAGAAAATCAAAAGTAAAACTTACTTGTTAAAACCCTAAATCAGCTCTGAAAGAGCAATGTCACCTAATAGTATATACTTTTGCTACCTTGTTGCTCTCCGCAGAATGGTAAACATAATTCCCTCACCCCAATAGGAAGAATCCAGTGGAAACATGAGTGGTAGTTAATTAAAATTCTTCAGAGCGTTTGTTTTCCCTAACTTGTCTTGTCACCTGAAGGAAATTTCACTTCCCTCTGCACTTACAGGTATCTTTGACTTCAAGTATTTTTAAAAGGCACATGGTAGCAACACCATTTTCTAACATTCCTTTTTAGTACAACACAAGAAAAATTATATGCAAAGGTCACAGCAAGAGAAGTGATACTCTCTAAGCAGATAAAAGTTTAAATATACTTTTTACCCTTCCTCATTTTTGTAATCTAACTTGCACAGGAAGATTGCTTCTGGTGAATGGCAGTTGCTCTGATAAACAGTCATGTAAGCTATTTGACAGTTTCAACCCACTAAAACAGTGTTACACAAGTTTTATTCTATTGAGTTAAACAAACCCAAACAGTAACTTGACATTTGTGAATACAACATATGAAGAAACATGAACATTACAACATTACATTGGCGATAAATGTATATTATCATCTTTATTTTAGCATGTTACAATATGCATATTCATTCCTAGAGTGATACTTAATGGGTTGCCTAATTAAAATTCTTACAAATGTTAGCTAATTCCAAAATAAATGTTTTTATTAATTGCTAGTTATAGTACTCTTCATTTAAATGGCAATATACACATTAGAAGCATGCTTAAGAGCAACATCTAAAAAAAGAAAAATCAGTTGCAGAAAACAACATCCATCCTTAGATTAGTGACAGTGACCAAAGAAAAATGTCTCTAGGAACAATGAAAGATCAAAGAACAACCCATGTATGCTAGAGATCCAAAAGACACAAATAGCAATCTTATCAATGGAGTCTCATAATGAGTCTTAAAAACCAATAAAAACAGTATAAAAAATTACTAATGCTGAAGATGTAATCATAACTCTATTAAAAACAAGATGTATAATTCCTTCAACAGCTTGTCCCACCTCAAGACTTTCATTCTTCATGAAAGTCTTAGCAGAGTTCCACAGTATCTTTTGTCAAATTTAACTTCTGTGATGATTTAACCTGATTAAGGAGGTCAGTCTGCATTTACAATTTATCTTGTCAAAGTTAGTATTATAGAAATGCTAATCTCTTCCAGTTAAGAGGAGCTCCTTTGCAGAGTTGGTTCTATTTTTCCACAAAAACTTGAACATATGTTCAAATACTCATTCTTGCTCAAGTCTTACTTTAAAAACAATTATAATAGTCTCTGAAAAGTTTTATTCCGAATAAATGAGATGAGAGATCTGGTTCTTGGGCACAATGAAAATTACTTTATTTTGCATGAAATTAATCTATTGAATTTTAATGAATTGCAATTCCATTATTCCATTTTAAGGCATCCTCACAGAATAAAACCAACTGTTACTGAAGCTAAAAAGTTAAAGTTTAAAAAGGTAAAATAATACTGTTAATGTTTAACCACACAGTTAATTTCACTTTCTGCTTATAAATCATAACATTTAAATTTGCACAATTAAGTGAAAAGCTTCAGTCACTTTAAAAAAAAAAAAGACAAAAAAAGCTACACAATGCAGTTCAATTTGGTCACTACCTTTTAAAACACATTGGACAGAGCAAAAAGCATCATAAATGCAATTACAAATCAAGGAGCAGCTAGGTATACTTGCAGTTCAAGTTTTCCTTTGAAGGCTGGTACTACTGGACAGCCACTCATTGTCATTTGTATCGCTATTTGTTATAGCAGGAAATAATTATTTTCAAACAAATAAATTGCCAAAGAAGAACTATTTTTGTTTGCTACTGAACATGTCATAAGAAAGAAAACAGATTTCTAATTGACTACAAACAACAGAAGAAGGATCAGCCTTTAAAAATCATTTACATCCAATTCTTCTACCCCCTATGGACATCTTTCATTAAATCAGGTTGCTCAAAGCCCCATCCAAACTGACCATGAACATTTTTCAATGATGGGGAATCCACAGCTTCTCTGGGAAACCTGTTCCAGTGCCTCACAACCCTCATCATAGGAAATTTCTTCCTTATGTCAAATCTAAACCTACCCTCTTTCAGTTTAAAACCATTGCCCTTAGTTCTGTCAATACAGACCCTAGTAAAAAGTTTCTTTGTCTTTTCATAAGCCCCTTTTATATATTAAAAAGCAGCAATAAGGTCCCCCCAGAGCCTTCTCTTCTCCAGGCTGAACAACCTCAACTCTCTCAGCCTGTCATCCTAGGAGAGGTGTTTCAGTCCTCTGATTTCATTTTCATGGTCCTCCTCTGGACCCACTCCAACAGGTCCACATCTTTCTTGTAATGGGGACCTCAGAGCTGGATGCAGTACTCCAGGTGGGGTCTCATTAGACCAGAGGGGCAGAATCACCTCTCCTGTCCTGCTGGCCACGCTTCTTTGATTCAGCCTAGGATACAATTGGCTTTCTGGGCCACAAGCACACATTGCCAGCTCATGTTCAATTTTTCATACACCAGTACCCTCAAATCCTTCTCTGCAGGGCTGCTCTCAATCCATTCATCCCCCAGTCTGTATTGATACTGGGGATTGCCCTGACCCAGGTACAGCACCTTGTACTTGGCCTTGTTGAACTTTATGAGGCTCACATGGACTGAGCCTTTTAAGGTCCCTCTGGATGGCATCCCTTCCCACAAGTGAATCAACTGCTCTGCTCATCTTGGTATCATCTGTAAACTTGCTGCAGGTGCACTCAATCCCACTGTCTATCAAAGAATCACAGAATTGTTTGGGTCGGAAGGGGACCTTGAAGATCATCTAGTTCCAACCCCCCTGCCATGGGCAATGACACCTTCAACTAGACTGTGTTGTACATAGACCCATCCAACCTGGCCTTGAACACCTCCAGGGATGGGGCATCCACAACTTCTCTGGGCAAACTGTTCCAGTTCCTCACCATACACCCAGTAAAGAATTTATTCCTAATATCTAATCTAAACCTACTCTCAATTTAACACATTCCCCCTTGTCATGTCACTACATGCTCTTGTAAATAGTCTTGTCCCATCTTACCTGCAAGTTCCCTTCAGGTACTAGAAGGCTGAAATTAGGTCACCCAAAAGCCTTCTCTTCTCCAGGGTGAATAATCCCAATTCTCCCAGCCTTTCCTTGTAGAAGAGGTGCTCCATCCCTCTAATCATCTTTGTGGCCTTGTCTAGACTTGCTCCAACAGGTCAGTGTCTTTCCTGTGCTTGGGATCCCAGAGCTGGATGCAGCACTGCAGGTGGAGTCTCACAAGAGCTGAGTAGAGGGGCAGAATCACCTCCCTTCATCTACTGGCCGCACTTCTTTTGATGCAGCCCAGGATACGATTGGCTTTCTGGGCTGCCAGTGCATGTGGCCAGCTCATGTCCAGCCTCTCATCCACCAGCACTCCCAAGTCCTTCTCTGCAGGGCTGCTCTCAATCTGTTCATCCCCCAGCCTGTATTGATACTGGGGTTTGCCCTGACCCAGGTACAGCACCTTGTACTTGGTCATGTTAAACCTCATGAGATTCCCATGAGCCCCTTTCTTGAGCCTGTCTAGGTCCCTCTGGATAGCATCCCATCCTTCAGGTGTGTCAACAGCACTATGTTGTTGATAAGCATAATGAACACTACTGGTCCCAGTATGGACCCTTAAGGGACACCACTCATTATTGGTATCTACTTGGACATTGAGCTGTTGACTTTGAATGCATCTATTAGCCAATTCCTTATCCATGTAACAGTCCATCTATCAAACCCATGTCTTTCCAATTTAGAGGAAGGAATAAGTCCACAACAGATAACATCAGTTGCTCTTCCCTTGTCCACTGATGCAGTCACCCCATCACAGAAGACCACTAGATTAGTCAGGCATGACTTGCCCTTGCTGAAGCCATGTTGGCTGTCTCTAATCACCTCCCTGTTTTCCATATGTTTAAATATGTCTTCCAGGCAGATATGTTCCATGATCTTACCAGGCATAGAGGTAAGACTGACTGGTCAGTAGTTCCCCGGGAACTCTGCACTACCCTTTCCAAAAATGGGTGTGTAATAACCATGACCAGTATACTTCCATATAAGATAATAGTCAACTTTCTCCAACCTCTTTTTATATCAATAGTATGTTGTTTCTGTGATAAGCACAGGAACACATAAGTATGTAAATTTTGAGATGGTATAATGAGAAAATCCAAAATGTTTTCCTTCTGTTTTATTAGAATTATCCTTAAAATTTCACAAAGTTTTGTTCCTAAAGACTGGAATAACATTTCAAAGCCTTAGACATCCAAAATTTAAGTCGTCATATGTCACAGCTAGTCTGTGGCTGAGCAATTAATTTGGTTACAGACAGAGACCTCAAGCAATCACGTTCCATCTTAAGCTGCAGACATCTCACTGGTCAGGAAACTGGGAGGTGTTAAGAGTGGACCAATGAGCATTATAGACTGGGATGTTTCAAACCCCCTATATAAGGCTGGGTTCAAAGAATAAAGCTCTCTCTCTTGCCACATGGACCTTGAGTGTGTGTCGTCTCTGTCTCCGACCCACCCCTCCATGTTACAGTCACACATACATAAAACACACAGAGCCAGAAAAAACAAATAACACTAAGTCCTGAAAACAATTCCTGATGCTTCAGTTATGCACTCATTGTAAAAGGCTCTTCAATTCCACTAAGTTTCAGATCCTGTTATTTCAAAGAAATTATAGAATCATTTAGGTTGGAAAAGACCTTTAAGATCATTGAGTTCACCTTCAAACCTAACACTGCCAAGTCCACCACTAAACCACGTCCCTAAGCAACACATCTACACATCTTTTCAATACCTCCAAGGATGCTGACTCCAACACTTCCCTGGGCATTCTGTTCCAATGCTTGAAAACCCTTTCAGTGAAAATATTTTTCCTAATATCCATTTTAAACCTCTGCTGGCTCAACTATTGCTTGTTATTTTGGAGAAAAGACCAATACCCACATCACTACAACCTCTTTTCAGGTAGCTGTAGAGAGCTATAAGGTCCCTCTGAGCCTCCTTTTCTCCAGGCTAAAGAGCCCCAGTTCCCTCAGCTGCTCCCCCTAAGACTTGTGCTCTTGACACTTCCCCAGCTTTTTTGCCCTTCCCTGGACACACTCCAACACCTCAACGTGTTTTTTGTAGTGAGGTGCCCAAAACTGAACAGTGCTTGAGGTGCAGCCTCACCAGTGCAGAGTACAAGGGGACAATCACTTCCCTAGTCCTGCTGGCAACACTATTGCTGATATAAGCTAGGACGCCATTGGCCTTCTTGGCCACCTGGGCACATGCTGGCTCATGTTCAGCTGACTGCCAACCAACCCTCCTGTTGCGGTGTGATGTAATGGTTTGCCTCAGATACGCTGGGTTTCTCCCTGAAGATTCCTTCTCCAGGTGTGTCAATCACCTCTCCTTTCCCCACCCTGACCCCTGCTAAGTACTGTCTATCAATCCTGGAATTCCAGAAGGGCGTTGAGTAATTGGGCAGATTCAAAAGATGCCCTCCACCCCTGGGGGGGGCTGCATTGGGCCATCCAGGTGTCCTTTGTCCCTTAAGACCTCCTCTCCCTTACCTGGTTGGTGATCCCCTGATTCCTTCCCTCCCTCCTCCCCCAGGTAAAAGGGCGAGCAAACAAAGCGGTCAGGAGTTCTGTTGGAGCTGTTGCTAGATTCAGGGACCTGCAGGCCAGAATAAAATCTCTGGATTGAAACCCTCCATCAGAACCGACTCCTTCCTTCACCATCGCCTTAAAGCTTCTCTGGAACAGGGAAGCCTGAGGAGCGACCCTCTATGAGAAGAAGCTCCATTCCACCGCCACCAAATCTCCAGCATGCCTGGACTTGTCACTACATGCCCAGCTGCAACTCACAGCTAGCCAAAAGTGTCACTGGGGTGAAACACCACAGTTACCACTATTTGGTTTGGCAGCAGGGGCCAGACAACTAAGGCACGTCCCATTCAGCAATATTGGTAATTCCAATATTTTGGCGCCCATATGTGCAGCTGGTCCGATCCTGCAGCCACGAGGGGACACTCCGGAGCTCTCAGAGCCTCAGAAGACCACGGAGAGACTTTAAGGCAGCTTGGCGTCCACTGGCAAAGCTGTGACAGCATAGCTCTCCAGCAGAGACTTTGGGATTTATGACATAAAAGCCTCGGGGACGTCCTGCGCCTCTGGGAAGCACAGCTCCTTTTTAGTGAGCAGACCTTCCGAGCGGGGAGAATAGGGTAGCTCCTCCAGCCCTGAGGAGTCCTATTCAGGTGTAGAGAAGACCCCGCCGGACCACAGCACCAATCACAACGATTTGGGTGAGTATCTCCGCGCCAAAGGGGGATGGGGAGCTCAAAAACAGTCTCTGAGGAGAGACTTGTTCTTTTTCGCTCTTATTCAGAGCATGGAAAGGCTGTGCAGCCCCACAGGGACAGCAGCGATAACATGCTAGTTTTAGCCACAGATGGCACAGCTCTGCCGTTTTTAGAACCCGCGCGTCAGCAGCTCAGAGGGAGCGGGGGGGGGGGGGGGGGGGCCC